TTTTTTTCAGATGCGGGTACTTAACGCTCATCACTTTTTATGCATATGTAGAAGTATTCAGTATCTGAAAATGGTTGGCTTCAAGACTGATTATATGGTGCGGTCTTTTGATGAAGTAAGTACTATTATAAATAATATCTCGTATTCATCGTGTAATCCGTACGTATGTATTGCGTTTTAGTCTATCGTGACGAGTTATCCAAAACCCGAAGCTGTCGTTCATTGGACCCATGCCGCCACATGTGAATGGTTAAGAAAAATTGATCTAGCCGAGTTCACACCAAATTTGTTGTGTGCTGGCACACCAGGTGCTCTCATGGTAAGCGGGAGTTTTTCGTGTATATTTCAGTAGTTTGCTTGGTGAAACTCCAGTTCGGGGGGGGGGGCACTCCATTGCTATCTTATCCGTAGTACTAGAGAGCAGTTCTTTGGGCTATCGAACACTACGGATAAGATAATAAGTGAACGACTCATTTCGAGCGTACTTTTGATAAGGACCGGTGGATGTCCTACATTCCACACTACCTGCCCACATCCCATCCACTTTTCTGCACAGGAGCTCCTGCACCCTTAGCCCTTTGCGGAGGTGTCCTTTCTCCTGGTCCAGGACCGTTCCCTTGGGTCATGGCAGGCGGAAATGTGAAAACGTTTCAGGGTTTCTCACCCATTACACCAATATTTATCAGAAGTCTACTTTAAATGAGTCGATTACGTGTCGTGAGCCCTCTAATCCTTATCTTGAGTATTGGAGAAAAAATGGAGTGGCCCCCCCGAACTGGAGTTTCACCAATGCAGTGTGCCTCATTTCCGACACATGACACAATTCAATCTTTCAACCAGCTAACTTGGTGGCTTCACAAATGAATCACCATATTTCCCAATTCAATTGATCTTTCTTGTCATTCTATTCAAGCAATCGTTTTAAGCATAATTTCGTCTTGCTCTTATGATCTTTCTTTCCCATCGCTAAACTCGTCCGCGTCTGTATTTCAAAGGTAAGAAAGATAGTTCATAAAAAGGTTGAAGTAGTTAGCATTCACTTCATTCTCTCGAAACCGCAAACCAAACGTTCATTGGCGGCAATGAAAGTTTGTGGTGAATACCTAGACGTCGACCGATTTTGTTGAACGCGCCCCGCCTTCGACTTGCACGACTTAAACTAAGCCGTACTCTGACATCCAACCTAAGCAGCCAATTGGGACGGCCAGCTGATAATCAGTTTGAATGTTATACTGCTAAATCAGTCTCGTTTCACAAGGGCTACCTCATGAGACGAGCCTTGATTGCTCAACGCCCATTTTTGCGGAATTTTATCCCCCGAATCATAATCGTAAGTGGTAACACTTGCCGTGACCACGTAAGCACTGAAAATGCATTTGAGGCAGATTTGACGGTAAATTGTTGACCGCTGGAAATGATAGTAGACGTGGACGTAGCTGCAGTGATGCGGAAAAGCCAAGAAGAACACCTCCGGATCATGAAATGAATCCCCCTTTTTGTCTGCTGATTACCGCTTCGGACGAGTCAGCGACCAGAGCGAGCTAGTTTTCAAATGGTAATTCCAATAGCCGGTATCACGCCTACAGGCATCATCCTCTGATTGTTATCGTATAACCTTAGCTCCAGATCTTGTCATCTGAATAGGCACGTCTGCACCTTTGATGTGTTGCACTTGACAGAAGTCGCGTGGATAAGCTATTTCCAACATAATTGCTGGGACACAGCTATGCACGCTGGAGACAGCTTGACCACGTGGCTTATATCGAGCACGATTGTCGCCACGTCAAATACGCAGACACGCTCACTCAGACGGCTAGATACGGACTGTAAGGCCGATGTCATAGTTTGCGATTCGAGCGTTGCGCCAGCGATCGCTGGTGCAACGTTCGATTCGCTGGCGCAACGCTCGGATCGAGCGATTCGCTAGCGAATCGCTCGATTCGCAAACTATGACATCGGCCTAAAACACACACACGGCCACTTGTTACGGGATGCCCTCACATATCAGAAGGAAACGTGAGCTGCCCCTGAATGTGCCACTTCTAACCAGGGAAAACGTAGCACTCACCGGACTTGTTGCTTTTGACATTTTCGTCATGAAAGTCATGAACTTGTCGCGAGCTGGGAAGAACTTCTCTTTGAG